ATTTAAAGCCCCTAAAGCCATGCATGCACGTAAAGTTTGCAAGTTTACGTGATAAGCATGCCCTAGAAGCCTAGATCTGTGGTTTGGAGCCGCTGCATGGCTCAAATCACGTCTGTATGGAAAAAGGACTGAATGAACTTGGCGAGTATAACGTTGGACTCGGCGAGTCCTATGAAGATAGCCGTGGACCCGAGTTGGATGAGCAACTCGGGGAGTCTGATAAAGATTGCCTTAGACTCGACGAGTTGTTCTTCAACTCGGCGAGTCGAATGAACTTGGACTTAGTATTTGTGCATCGAAGAAGAACGCATCGATTCTTCGCTAAGCTCGACGAGTAGAAACGGGTATAGAACTAGAACAGATGGAAGGGACTCGGTGAGTTGCCGAGCCAACTCGGCGAGTCCGGTCAACCAGGAAGTTGACTTTGACCAGGAAGTTGACTTTGACCAGGGGTAAAATACTCATTTTACCCTAAGATTAGTTATCAGTATTTGACTTAGTGTTTATGGAAATTGTAGCCGGGGAGTTCCGGTTCAGCAGTCAGGCGCTCTGCAAGCAGACTTTCGGCAGCTACTTCGAGGTGAGTTACCTTCTAATAGCAGTGGGGCTAAGGCCACAATGTCGGACCACTAGTAGGAATTGTATGATTAGATGATTGTCTCTGTGATATTCATCTAGGGTTGCCACTACGTATGTTATGTTTATGTGTTTGTATGGTATGATGTTATATGCTAGCGATAGTAGGGGAGATAGTCCCCAGGTTACCGGTCGATAGGGCCGAAGGGGCAGTCATGTCTAGCCATGCTAAATAGATTATGTGATATGTGTTATGTGGTAGTGGTAGGGGTGAAATAGTCCCCAACATCCGGTCGAAAGGACCGAGGGGGAGACTAGCACCCAGATATGCTAGTCAGTATCCGGTCGAAAGGATCGAAGGGGAGACCAGCACCCATATATGCTAGTCAGTATCCGGTCGAGAGGACCGAAGGGGAGACCAACACCCAGATATGCTAGTCAGTATCCGGTCGAGAGGACTGAAGGCGTAGGTCGGGCACCCAGATATGCCTGACAATATTTGTATGTTATGTGGTTATTTGGTATGCGGTACGATAGGTGAACTCACTAAGCTTCGTGCTTACGGTTTTTAGTTGTTGTTTCAGGTACCTCTTCAGCCAAGGGGAAGGAGCTGGCGCGGTAGCGGCATATCACACACATGCTCTTGTTTTTCCGCACTATGAGACATTCTGGGATTTGTACTCTGATATTATTATGATTTACGTTCTGGTTTACAAACGCGAGACATGTTTTATTAAATGATATGGTCGAATGATATTTTGTTACAAACGTTTTGCAAATCACTTAATTAAAAATGAAATTTTTGGTCCATAATTTTCGGGATGTTACAAGCTAGAACATGAGCAAAGTACAAGGAGAATACAATATGACAATTCTAAAAAAATGAAGATATGCTCCAATCAATCCACCTATTTATAGCCTGAGTAGTTCTATATTTGAACCACACATATGTTTGAAAGATCACCTCATATGCAATCTGTGCAGGAGATGCACGAATTTGCTTAAACACCATGTTGTTCCTTGCTATCCAAATAAACCATAATAAAACATATATCACCGTATTGAGCCTTTATTTTTTGCGGGACAGTTGCCCCAATTTGCCGCGAAATTTAGTAATTATGTCATGTTGTTAAAAGATATCGTGGGTATGCCGCACCATTTTAATATCCAATCCCTCGCCTCCTTCACTATCTTGCATTTTATCAATAAATGCTTACCTGTTTCTTTTTCTTCTTTGCAAAGAGGGCACATAGATGATTGTAAGATGACACCTCTCATTTCCAGATTCGACGCAACTGGGATTCTGTCAGGGATTGCCCTCCATATAAAGCATCTAATCTTGAGTGGTACCGCTTTAGACCAGTTAATTTGTACATTGTTGCTAGGGGCTGCGATTTTTTGAGTCCACCAGTTTCGTTAGAGTTTTAACTGTGTACCTGCCATCCTTATTTAGAGTGAAGTTTAGTCCATTTTCTGCTGGTGTTATGTTGACATTTGCAATTAACGAACAAAGAGCCAAGAAATCAACAGACGCTCAGCATTCATCTATTGTTTCTTCCAGTTCCATGTGTGGCCATTACTTTGAATCCTATCCGAAATTAGGCACAACTTGAATTTTTCCAGATCATATAATCGTGGGAATCGCTCTTGTAAGGTTAAGTCCCCGCACCACCTGTCTTTCCAGAAAAGGAAACTATGTTTGGAAATTGGATTTACAGTGAACAACTCGTGATAATTTACATCAAAGGATGGTAGAGGTTAATTGCTTTGGCTATGTTACACCAAACACCATTTGAGTTTTAGCAATCGTTGTGACTGGTCTTTTGATGAGATTGTGGATAGAAACGATGCATTGTTTCAAGAGACAAAAATCCCCTGCTTTCAATTTCCACCACCACTTGGTTAATAAGGCCAAGTTTTGCGCTTTTAGAATACCAACTCCAAGACCTCATTTTGATTTATCAACAGACTACATTGGCCCATGCTATCCGATGTATTTTTGATTTTGTATCATCACCATCCCACAAAAATCTTCTACGGAGTTTCTCTAATTCAGCAATGATACCTTCAGATGCTTTGAACAAAGAGAGGTAGTATGTTGGTAAGCTATTAAGGAGTGACTTAATGAAAGTAGGTCGGCCACCGAATGATAGAGCTTTCGCCTTCTACTAGAGACTAGTCAGAGAGCTTTATCAACTTTGGAAGAGTCAATTTTATTCTACGGTGAAGAATTATACTTTTCACGAGAATACACCATAGGCCACTAACATTCCCGAGCGTCCATCAATTCCATCTCGACAACCTTCATCATATTTTGGAACTACGTAAATCTATACTTACCTTGCTCTAACTATTATTATTATTATTATTATTATTATTATTATTATTATTATTATTATTAATTTGCAAGTTTGAGATTGTGAGTATAAAGTACTATTCATTTCGTTTATTAAATTATGGGCTAAAAATGGCTAGATTGATCACATTGTAACTGTTACAACATATAATAATGATGCGTTAAACAACTCTTTGGAATAGAAGTTTTGCCTTTAGATAGACTTTCATATTTACACTTTTCTTTTCTAAGGGTTTGATTTAATAGTTTTCATCCTTCATAATTTTAATGGTAAGTTATTGGAATTTTTAAGTTACGATTCATTTATTATATTTAAAAGTAATGTTTTAGTTCCCATATATATATATATATATATATATATATATATATATATATATATATATATATATATATATATATATATATATATATATATATATATATATATATATATATATATATATTTGTTTTTATTAATATTGTTTATTATTATTATAATTTCTCAATTAATTTTCATTTGTGGTATTGTACCAAATATATATTTATACTTACAAATCTTATTTTTTTTATCTTTGTTGTCTACATGTAATTATTTACATCGAAATTTTATTTTTATAATTTTATAATCTACTTTACAAAGAAGTTTACCACCATAACGCACAAAATGACTAACCAGTAGTTATTAAAAATTCCCTCTATAATTAGTTGTACTTTTTCGTTAATAAATATGGTTATTTTCTTGGAGTTTGCGTTGTCCTAAATATATAATATATAATACTAAATTAAAGATAAAATAATATAAACAAGGAAGAAGAAAATACCATGAAGCCGCACGATCGTTGATTCTCCTCTCTACCCGTCTCCTTTCATTCCTCATTGGCTCGCTGTTTCCCTGCCGACTTATCGCCTGTTAGCTTACTCGTCATCTTTCTCAGCCTCATCACTGTTGGTTCATCCTCTATCATCGTTGCTTCAGATCTCCTTGTCTTCGTGAAGGCAGGTAACTATGAAGGTCCATTCTTAGAAGTTTGTTTCACATGTTGTTAGATAGTGTCATCTTATTAATCATAAATCACATCATAATCATCTGTTTATTTCCTTAATATGTGATTGAATTTTTTCAACTCAAAGATGAAAAACAAACCAAAATAACACAAGAGTAATAAGATCAATGGTTTTCTAATACTGATAGTGTTTAATTTGTAACAATAAAGCTGTTCCACAAGCTACTCTCCTAGAAAAAAAAGAAACAAAATTGTTTGAGCAAATGATTGGATGTTTTTACAAACCACGCGTCCCACTATATATAAACCAACGGAATAAACAGTAAAGGGCAAAAATACCCCTCAAATATGCAGCCTTCCTTTATTTATCATAATTACCCTCTTTACCCCATCTTTGGTACCTAAATTTCAGTGGTGGCATAGTAGTTAACCTATCCAATAACTTTTCATTCAAGTTCTACTTTCATGAGATTGCTGTTACAGAAATTAATCAACTTGTTTATGCTTAAAATAAGAAGACCCCAACAGCCTTTTTTCATATTTGGAACACATCGGCAGCTAGCAGCTTTTGTTGTGTTTTTTTTCCAGTGTTTAGATGCCTAAGCTTGATTCACATATGTCGCACGCACACAAAACCACCGAGTTTAGAATGGCCTTTGAACAAAAAAATCAAAAGCATGGGTTAAAAGACACATATACACATTATGCACTATATAGCATCAAAATCAACTCAAAACTCGAAGTTTCTGGGTAATATTGGTATATTAACAAAATTAGAGTTCATATATTGAACATTAAATTTTTTTGGGGTGTATTAATCCACATGTAAAAATTCAGAGGTGCATATGTATTGTATTGTAATCACTTAAAAAGTTTTATTTTTTAATATCTTGAAGTTATTATTATTGAGGTTTCAACTGTTTGATGAGACTTAAGTTGCATATTGTAACTATTGATTATTTGGATTTCATGTAGAGACATTTCCTGATATCGAAGCACAAGTGAGGGAAGCCGGTGAAACCATCTTACGATAGGATTTTCAGAAATTTTGGGAAGGGTGAAGAGTCATCAACACATAACTCATAATGGTTGTTCTATCTGAAGTTCCAGAAGGATCTTCATCTTCTTCATCAACTCATGGCTATAGTCCATCAACTCATGCTTATAGATATGATGTATTTCTAAGTTTTAGAGGTTTCGATACTCGTCGTAGTTTCACTGATCACCTTCATAAGGCCCTCATTGATGCCAATATCACTGCCTTCATGGATGATGAAGAGATTGAAACAGGAGAACATCTGAAACTAGAATTAGAGAGTGCTATTAAGGCATCCCGGGCTTCTATTATCGTTATTTCCAAGAATTACGCTACTTCAACATGGTGCCTCGATGAACTGGTATTGATCCTTGAGCAGCGTATGACATCCAACCATATTGTCATCCCCATCTTTTATCATGTGGATCCCAACCATGTTATGAAGCAACAAAGTAGCTTTGGAGATGCAATGTCTAAGCATAAACAGAAAATGGATGAAGAGACAGATGAAAATAAAAGAAGTCAATGGGTTCAAAAGATCGAACGATGGAATAAGGCGCTTGTAGAAGTTGCTAGTATAAAAGGAAATGACGTAAATGGAAGGTAACAACTTTCTTACACATATTTTCATACACCATTTTCTCACTATGCGTTTCGATAAGTTTTTTAGTATCATAAAACTGGTGTATATTTCATGCATTTGGATAATGTAGATGATGCACAAAGTGAATCTAAGTATCGTGTCATGTGATCCCATAATCAGTTTATATAGATAGATTACCATCATGATAGTTTTTTCACACTTGTTTTGCATTTTGTATTTTATCATAGATTCATAGGTTAGTCCAGTTTGATAAACCATTTCGTTTATTTTTATATGCTTCTATTAAAAAACAAATTTGATCTGTTTGCTATGCGTCTACTATTAAATATACAACACGACTTTCAAACATAGTGTGTTTTATGTTAATAACTTCTCTTACCTGTTGTAAGCAGCAAAAGATAACCTATAACTGCCACTTTTTCAGACGCACCACATTCATAGTTAAATTTTATGTTCTTGTAGAAACATAGTGGAGTTATGGTAGAGCCTGATATTTGAAGTTCTTGACTCAAAACAAATGTAACAGTAAATGAATTTGAAAGAGAGGGATTTATGTATTAACTTAAAGAAAATTGAAAGCGAATGATTCAAAACAATAATAAAGGAAATTCAGTGTGTGAATTCCTCCTGCCAAAGCTTGAAGCCAATGAACAATAATTCTCCAAGGAAAATTCTAGACAGGTCACGCCATGCAAAATCTTTTCCCTAAATAATATTTTCCTTCTATAGACTATCCAAGGCTTATGCTTATCCAAATTGGGCTCAGGTGTATGGTGTGTGTGGTACTGGGTGAGGATCATTTTCAAGTTAGATGGCCCATTAGTGAAATCTTGTATTACATTGGAAACTTTGGTCTTATTATACATATATTTAGAAACTTACACGTTAGATACTTATATGGTTAAGTGCAAACACAATATGGTTTTGTTGTGAAGAACCTACTAAAATTAATAACTATGATATAATTTTGATTTGGATCTTTATATAATTAAGACCTCCAAATCTGGTTTGTAAGTTTTGTGGATTGTGTTTTGTAATTCTTATTAAATCAAGTTTCAGGGTTGAGACGGAGTTCATTGAAGAAATTGTGAAGGACATCTACCGTAGATTACATGTACGGAGTGTTCGGCCCTTACTAACCGGGATGGACTATTCCATTAACTTCATCACTTCATGGTTGAATGATGGATCCTCACATAAGGCAGACATACTCACTATTTCGGGTATAGGTGGGATCGGGAAGACAACTTTAGCCAAACATGTCTATGGGATATATTGTCATGAATTCGATAAAAGCACTTGTATCGAAGATATTAGTAGGATATGTGATGGAAAGTTTAATGGGTTGCTTGATTTACAAGAACAACTCTGCAATAGCATTTCAAAAACAAGTTCAATTAAAGCTCATGATGTTTCAATATACACCGCAAAGATAGAGAATGCACTAACACATAAAAGGGTGTTTCTAGTTCTTGATGATATCAGTACTGTTGCTCAGTTGGATGCATTACTTGGAAGGAAAGGTTTTCATCCAGGAAGCAAAGTTATAATAACAACAAAGGACAAATTGTTAACAGAGAGTTGTGGACTATTCAAAACGAACATTAAACCCAACCATGTAGAACACTTCGTTGAAGCCTTACATGAGACTAAATCACGACAACTTTTGTGTTCCCATGCATTCATGTCTAACGATCCCAAGGCAGGTTATGCGGAGGTGTCAGATAAGCTTGTGAAGTATTGTAAAGGGCACCCATTGGCTCTTGAAGTTTTGGGCAAGTCTTTGCATAATCGGGACGTGTCGTATTGGGAAGGGTGCATAGAAGTGCTAAAGAAAGAAGTTAGTTCCCCTGTAAATAATATCTTGAGAATGAGCTACAACTCTTTGCCATCTAAAAACGATAAGGAATTGTTTAAGTATATTTCTTGTTTTTTCGTTGGAATAGATAGAGATGTTAGCGAAACAATATTAGAGGCATGTGAAATAAACACAAGATCCGGAATCCCGAATCTCATTGATAGATGTCTTCTTAGTATTGGAAAGAATAATGAATTGAAGATGCATCAGTTGGTTCAAGAGATGGGAAGATTCGAAGTACATCAAGAATCACCTGATAAGCCATGGAAGCGAAGTCTATTATGGTGTCATAAGGAGTCATTTAGAGTGTTGAAACAAAAAAAGGTAAGAGGCCATGCCTCAGTAGTGTACATGTCCAAAAAATTTTGTTTTGCCTAATTTGTTTGTTTGCATTATGTTTCTTCTTAGGGTAAGGGAAATCTTCTAGGCCTTTCCCTTGACATGCGCATGCTTGAGAACCAGAAGTTGGGAGCATCATTTGAGCTGAAAACAGATGCATTGAGTTACATGAATAGTCTTATGCTACTACAACTCAATTATGTTCACATGCATGGGTCTTATGAAAACTTTCCAGGGGAATTAAGAGGCTTGTGTATGCATGGGTTTCATTCAAAGTCTATACCTTTAGACTTACCTATGGAGAATCTTGTTGCTCTTGACATGTCATATAGCAATATTGAATCAATCTTTGCTAGTTATAGTAATCCACAACGACTAGAGAAGAGGCAGAATGTAAACTTGTCTTCATTTATTATTCATGCATGAGAGTTGATGAAATTCAGTACTATACTAACCTATTTTCATTTCTGTAGTTGGATGGATCGTGCTCAAAAGAGAAAATATTGTTTGGTTCACTGAAGATTCTTAATTTAAGTTTTTGCAAACAACTTCATAGTGTTGGTGACTTTCAACAACTCCCTGCGCTTGAGAGGTTATTACTTAGAAATTGCATTGGTTTGCTTAATATTTGTGAATCAATTGAGCAATGTGTTGAACTTGTCCTCATCGATCTAAGCTACTGCAAGAAGCTTGAAAAACTTCCAAGAAATTTAGGCCTGTTGAAGAAGGTTAAAACAGTGTTGCTAGATGGTTGTAGTCTCGGCGAATCTCGAATCCAGATTAAGGATATTGGATCATTGGAATTGTGCAAAACCAGCAACATTTACATAAATAAAAGACCCTCTTTCTCTTCCTTTGTGGGTGCTATACCAAGTGATTTGAAGTCCTTCACAATGTCTTTACCAAGATCTTTAGTAAGGTTGTCACTTGCAAATAATAATTTGTCCCATAAATCCTTTCCCATGGACTTCAGTTATCTATTCATGTTAAAGGATTTATGTTTAGATGGAAATCCTATCAGTTCTATGCCAAGTTGTGTGAGAACCCTTCCTAGACTTGAGAAACTTAGTATGGGGAAGTGTGAAAAGTTGAAGTCAGTCGTGTATCCTCCACATACACTAAGAGAGTTGTCTATTAATCCTTATGATGTGTATTACGTAGAAAAAGTTGTATTTGATCCAAAAATGTCCGCACTCCAGTTACCATTTGTTAACTGGGTAGCTTACGCACCCGGGTCGTATGAAATTGAAGGCATCATCAAAATGCAAGAAATGGTGAATGTTGAGGAAAAGGTATTACACAGCTTGGGTTGGAATAATTTAGATTCCCTTAACAACAAGCATATGAGAACTAATCCTTTGAAATCTAAAATCCAGGTTTGTCTTGTTAACATAACTGTCTGACTTAATGTGAACATGTATAATGTAATTGCTATGGTGATTAATTAAGGTGGTTGTGTTTGGCAGTTGTTTTATGAATTTGGAATATTCAGCACAAAGTATGAGGCGGAGGATATGCCGAGTTGGTTTAGTTATAGAAGTGTGGGGCCATCAATATCATTTACCATCCCATCATTATCATCTCCAAACAAGCTTAGAGGTCTCAACTTCTGCTTTGTGCAGAGATGGCGAGGTTTGGATGAGAGGTCTCCATTTAAATATGGTCAGGCCCCTGTATGGCCAATGATGACAATTAGTAATATAACAAAGAACCGTATGTGGATATACGAACGTCACAAGGATATAGTTGTTGAAGGTAAAACGTGTTGGGTAGTTTTAAGTCATTGGATGCTTGGGATGAATGAGATAGAGGGTGGTGACCACGTGATTATTAATGTTACACCACGGTATGATAAACTTGTAAAGGAGTGTGGAGTGAGTCTAGTGTATGATGATGGAGAAGAAAAAGAAGAAGAAGAAGATGCATTGGGTTATTATAAGTCATGGAATCACAGAATTGGTGGGGATCTCTCTCCTTTTCAAACCTCAACAGGACAATACATCCTAAACCACAAGCTATTTTTTTCCACCATGATTAGATTGTTACCATATCATCGTGAATTCGTTACAGAGGGCGCCAAATTTCAAGGTAGATGTCATTTTTATTAAATATATAATGATCTCATCCATGACCCAAGTTCTTTAGATAGATGGAGAATGACCCATTTACTTTTAGTAGATAAATAAATGGATCATATAACCCAAATCCACCCATTCATCGTTGATTTTGTTGACCTTTACTATAATAGTTTGTTTTTATAAACATGAAAGAAAAAATTCTACTTCTTACTTCTAAATGAATCGACCCAAATAATGATCCTTATGAATGGATCTATGTTAACTGATTAAGTCTTGATATGTTCGATCACATAAATATCTCGGGACCCAATACAAACTACTTTGTCCACGTGGATGTTTCTGAATAATAACTGAACATACTATATACTTTTTTTTTTCAGTAAAAGAGAAAGGGTGGTTTAGAGCTTTATCCCCAAGGAAGCCTGACATACTTGGTCCAGCATGTGAGGTATATTTTTTGACATCCAAGCCTTTCTATCATTACATGAATAAACGGCATACACATCAAAGTATGTTATATATCATATCTTTGATTGGTTTAGGATGCATCAAAATAAGAGGAGTTAGAGCCTTGCAATGAATGCTTGCTTGAAAAAGATAACGTCAAAACAAAGTTGGGGCTGATATGATGGGCATGAAATTTGTCTAATTTTCTCTAACTATTTAATCTTAGAGTGGGAGCACACCAATTACATATACATAATTCGTTCATTTAGGGCTCTACATTTGGTGTTTTTGGTTGTTATCAAGGTCTTTTGGCTTTTATTCATTTTTGTTTGTTTTTATATCAAATAATAATATCTTAGGTAATTATTGTAAATTATTTTTATTTGCTTTTGAATTAAATTTTTTTGATCACACTTACCAAAATAGAACCATCCTTATAAGGGCTTGTGGTTGTATCTTTCGAATTTAAGTTTTTTCCATCAACAAAATTAATTTCAAAATATTTATGATTCAAATATTTTAGACTATCGAGTCGATTTATCGATTTTTTGTTGTTGAGAATATTAATCATACAATTCAGTTTTCTCTTCCCTCAAAATCTCATACAATACCTCTATTGTACTTCTTTACTAAAGTCTTAGTCTTTGCTTTAAGGGCCTCCTCAATCTCAACTTCCACCAAATCATTTACCTACATTTCATCTTCCTCTACTTTTTGAATTTGAATATATTTCTCTACATGTTTAGTGGTAACATTTGCAAGATGCTTTTTGAGTTCATTAATAAAAATATTAAAATTGGAAAATCAAATACTTGATCCATTGATGAGTTTGTTGATATCGGATTAGCTACCCTAAGAAAGAAGTAGGCTTGTTTATTAGAGTCCTCATCACTCATCAGATGATGACCAGACCACATTTGTCCCATGTGCACTTTCTCATTCATTTCAGCTTCTTTATATTTCTATAAATTATATGACCCATTTTTCATCACTCTTTTTTTTTTTTTTTTTTTTTTTTTATTTTTTTTTTTATGCATTTCAATCATTGGAAAAATGATTTTTCTCTGCCATATTTGTGAAACTTACAACATAATCGCTGGCCAGTTCAGCTTTCATAGGGCTATAAACTTTCTTTATCTTTGTAATCTTTTGTAAAAGATGATTTCCTCTTTTTGGATTCTTCATGAATTTGTGGAACTTCTTTGTTAGAAAATCCAAAATTCCATAACATTTTTTGGAACCCAACTTTCCTCAACCTCTATCTCTGGTAAATTTACCACAACTGCACTTTGATTCGATTCATATTTTGTATTATCTCCAATAAACATTATATAACCTTGAACTATTTTTTGACTACAATTGGTCATTGAATTCCCCCTTATTAATGGCAATGGTCCACCACATTGTATTGGACTTTGAACAATCAGTTTTTTGTGGTATGCTACTTCTCCATGTATTGATAAACTGCTAAGATCTTTAGATGTTTAGATTACAATTCTCACTGTTTACTATTAACATCCTACACTTGACATAAATTTAATGTTTACATTTTTTTCACTTGAAGCCTTTTCACCTTGCTAACAGTCGTACTATGCAAGTCAACGGTTTCAGTTAGTGACTCTGTAGCTGATGCTTTAAAATTGTTGTATGCGTTTTCATAGCATTTTGTATTATATTGTCCATATACTTTGAGAGATTTTATAATTTTCTTACTTGCCCTTTCTCCGTAGGGTAATGAGGAATCTTCAAGGTCTCATCCTTGACGTGAGAACGTATGAGAAAGAGAGGCAGCAGTACATTTTCCCAATTTTTCCAGAAGAATTAAGATGGTTTGCTTGTTGTCACCTATAGTAATGATTTATCTTTTCATTTTTTGTTTTGATAATTGTATCTTTGATTGCCAAAAACAGGGGAAAACAATATAATAGGTTTTTCAGTTAATTAATACACATGTAAGGAATATGATGTAAGTCGTAATGTTGTTTTTATTACTTTTGTTATTTTGTTTATTTGGTTCATCTGATTGAGAGAAAATACTAAAATGTGATTGATGAGTTGCCATGATTGTCCGGGTTCAATGTTTTTCTGCTATTTGTTCAGTAAAGGTGAAATTGTAAGTGATATAACTGGGAAAGTTAATTTTGTAGCCACAACTTTGTCCATTTCCTTGCTGCTATTTTGGTAATAAAAGCCACTAATTTCATAATGTTTGTGTTTCTGTGTTGCTGTTACAACATATGTTGTCGGTTATGCTTGTTGATTCTTACTTATTACACAACAGACATTAGACATACAGTTTTTTCTTCTCTTGTTTCCTTTTTCACTGCAGACTGAATTGGAATCTCGGTTATTATTTCAGAAGGGGTTAAAATTAAGGGCTAACTTTCACTATGGTATTAAAAATAATCTACAAGTAGTTAATGGCATTAAGTATCACGATTTTGGCACTTTCATTCACAGTTAATGGAACAATTTGCAGGATGAAATGGTTAATTTTAAACAAGGGAAGATAGCTTACGTGATTATTAATTTATTATGATTTACATAGTGGTGGCATGGCAACTTTCAACGATCAATGGATTTGGATTAACTTTTGAGGTGTTACTTTTTTTTTAATAGTAATCAGTACTTTGGCTCTGCTGATTATCCCGATCTTAGCTGGTTGTTATATTTCAGGAAAAGATTAAGGCGATTGCTATTGTGTTGCGATTTAGGGACTTGCTTCTTATATTTATCATCATTATCTTGATGATCTATGAAACTCAACCGAGAAATGGAATGAAATTGTCAATGAGGTTTTTGAAACATAAAAAAAAAAAACATTTATAAAAAGTTACTATCATGAGAACAGTTATTATGATTCCTTGTAGCTTGCCTACTTTTATGACAATAATCAACAAGGTTGTGTTTATTACACACAGACAGTCTGGCCACTATTGGCCACAACCGGAGAAACTTGATAAGGTTATTTTTAGTAATAAGGGCTAAAAAGTCTTTTGCACAAATGAGATTGAGATCAAGTTCTTGTCTCGTCTAAAAGGAGGAACAAAAAGTTGCAATTTTTATGCAATTGACATCCGTCCTAATACAAGTCCAGTACATGCCAAACAAAATACAAGGTTGTGTTGCCCTCTCATGCCATGCATAACAAACGGGCCAGATGGTTGACCGGAATCAATGGATGTTGAGGGCATTAACGTCTTTTGCACACAAAAGATCCATAGCAAATCTTTTTCCCACCTTTTTTGATGATATAAAAAATTACAGTTTTTGTCCCATATTGCATGAGTACTTTTGCTAAGACTGGTGCCAACATTCCAAACACAACACAAATGACCTTGATTGGATTCACTCTGCTTTTAACATATGAATATTATCTTAATGGTTCATATTATAAAACCAAAAACAAGAAACTTGTTTGTAAGAACTTTGGGAAGTAATCATGTAACCAGTGGCGGATCTAGCCAGAAAGTTAATTGGGGTGCACACTCGACCCTTGACCGTTGACTAGTCAACCATTGACCGTAGAACTTCTAACCGATGGGATTAAACCCAAGAAACAACATCTAATATGCATACAACTTTGAAACAGGAAAGAACATGGAAGAAGATGATCTTTTGTGCAGTAGTACAGTCTTTTATTAATGATACACACTGCACACAATATTAGAGATGCCTGTTACATATATATACATAGTCCATTAATTGTCATTAACTCTTCCCAAACTTCACAACTGTTAAGAAAGACAAAGAAAAAAAAAGAAGAAGCTGAGAACGGAAGGAGATTGATTCAAAATCTATAATTGGGTACAACCAAACACTTATGTGGGGACCAACCATTACAAATATAACAATAATTTTTTTTTTCTAAATCTATTCTTGTTATAACTTACATCTAAGTGGGGGCCATGCACCCCACTTCTTATGCATTGCCTCCGCCACTGCATGTAACACCCCGTTTATTAAATAAATAAATAGACAAATTATTGAATGAATAGTAGCCCTAAAATCAATAATAATGTAGTAATGTGTTGGTCTTGAGGAGTTAATTGCTACTATTTTAGAAGTTGGGGGCTAAAGTGTACGTTTTGGATTTAAATTGAAAACAATATAGTGGGGAAGGACTAATATTGAAAAAATGAATTAAAGTTTGGAAGGACACGGGATTAGACCCGGTACCATCCTTCCTTTCCGTTCTCATAATGCAACCCTAACCCTAAGTCACTATACTACAACCGCCACCACCATGTGGAGCATCTTCAGCCGTCGCCGCCAAGCAGAGATCGACCGCCACCTTTCTACCTGTTACGTCGTCGAGCAACACCATAGCTTTCGTGCCGGATATCGTGGGCAACAGGAGAACCACCTAGGACCATGGAACTCGTTGTGGGCGTCGATGTGTGGATCACGAGCAACCGAAATCTCTTAGTAACGTATCTGCGACCATTCTCTCTTTTCTGTTTCTTTTCGTTCCGGCGAGTGCGATGTGGTTATGTCTTAGTTGCCGTTGCTGGCCTCAATCGCCTGTTCCGTCGACTTTTATGCTGCCAACCTTCAAAACGGTGGCTGGTGGCTATGTTTCTTGTCGCATTTTTACGCGTGATGCTGCTGGACTCATGAGGATTATTGGCTGGAGGTTAGGCACACCACCATGGCAGCCAACCATGGTGGCGGTCGTTTCGGCCATATCCCACCGCCACCAACCACCGTGGGAGGTGGTTATGGGTGTGTATATGGGTGTATGTTTGTGTGTAATTGCTGCTTCCGGTTTTTATGAGGTTGTATTGTAGCACCTGGTTCCTGGTACGTAAATCTTATTTGAGTATTCTCTTTCTTTTTGCCTTGGACTCGGCGAGTCATAGGTCAGACTCGCCGAGTAAGGACGGGACCCGGGACCATTTTAAGTTAGCGACTCGTCGAGTCCATATTCTGGACTCGGCGAGTCACCGCTGTTAGATGAAACCCAAGTTTCAGGGGTTTGCACCCTATTTAAACAACATATCCGCCCCAGGCCAGCCCCCATTCACTCCCCAGAGCTCCCAACCCTCGTTCTAAGCTTGTTTCTTGAGAGTTTGAGGCTATTGTGTGTGTTCTTGAAGGTTTTGAGGCAAGAAGGGGAAGTAGATCAAGAGGAAGGAAAGGATCCAAGCATCTTTGCACTCTTTCAGCAGTTCCTTTGAGGTATAATCCGTTTTTCCCCTGTTTCTATGCTTATTACTTCATGTAAGTCATCCTTGGGCCAATCCCCAAGTTTGTATGTGCAAATTATCTCGTAATAGGCTGATTGGCCCTTAGATCTAGGCATGGTTGAGCTCCGGGAGCTCAGATTTGTTGCCTTTATGGACCCTCATTGCATGAATACCCTAGATCTACCCTCTTGAGTACATTTTGAACCCTAAAACCTTCATGGGTGAATATCTATACGTAAAGTTGGAAACTTTACGTGTGATTCGTGTTCTAGAAGTCCAGATCTGTGAATGGCATGTACTGGAATCGAGCAAATCTGTGTATTTAGTGAGTGCATGGCAACGACTCGGCGAGTCGTTCATGTGACTCGACGAGTCTGCTCGCGAGTCTTCGAGTTTATCCCCTTTTCGTAGTGTCGAGTGTGCAGTGAGTCACGGGGCGTAACTCAGTGAGTTGGAATCTGAACTCATCTATGGAGGAACTCGGCGAGTCAATGCCCTGACTCGCCGAGTTCAAGGCAATATCCTTAGATCAAGAACAGACTCGACGAGTTGTTCATACAACTCGGTGAGTCTTAGCATGAGTGTTCATCGGATGAAGATGAACTCGACGAGTTGTTTATACAACTCGGCGAGTAGGATGAAGGACTTGAATATCAGTTAGAAGGCAAACTCGTCGAGTCGTCGCCTAACTCGACGAGTAGGAACGAGATTAAGGGCAAACGTTTGGGTAGGGACTCGGCGAGTCAGGTTAACTGAAAGTTGACTCTGACTTTGGCTTAGGGCATGATTAGGGGTAAAATAGTCATTTTACCCAAAGGGCAGTTAGTAGTGTTTGATTGAGTATGTTGTGGGATTTGCAGCCGGAGGATTTCCGAAGCAGCAGTAGGCAGTCAGCTCCCGATCAGTTCAGCAGCTACTTCGAGGTGAGTTACCTTCCAGTAGCGGTGGGTTTAAGGCCTCAATGCCGGCCCACCAGTAGGAGTCGTATGTTAGATGATTGTCTTTGTGATATCATCTTGGTTGCTACTACCTGTTATGTTATATGCTAGCATGATACGTTATATGTGATAGTAGTAGAGTTCGGTTGTTAGGACCGAAGGGTAGTCAGACACCCCAGAAATGTCTGACAGTACGTGATGATATGTTTGCATGCTGGCCTGTTATGTTATGCGGTAGAGGTAGTAGGAGGGGACCAGTCCCCGAGGATCGGTTGTTAGGACCAATGGGTAGTCAGCACCCCAGAATGGCTTGAGATGGGTAGTCAGCACCCCAGAATGGCTTGACACGGGTAGGACGGCACCCCAGAATGGCCGTATGGGTAGGCGGCACCCCAGAATGGCCGTACCGGGTAGTCAGGCACCCCAGAATAGCCTGGCAGTATGTATGTTATGTGTTTGTATGGTATGTGGTACGATGGGGGAACTCACTAAGTTTTGTGCTTACAGTTTACAGTTTTGATTTCAGGTACCTCTTCATCGAAGGGGAAGGAGCTGGCGCGGTAGCGGCACATCATGCACACACACTGGGTTCCGCATTGACAAGATTCTCTGGGATTTGTACTCTGATATTTTGATGGGTTTTAAGACTTGACTTTTAAACATGGTCTACGTTGTGTTATGGTTTGATTAAACAATGTTTTTAACTGTTGGTGTTTTTCTAAAGTAATGTTTTTTTAAAACAAAATTTTTAGACGTGAAAATTGGGTTGTTACAAGTTGGTATCAGAGCCCTGGTTTGAGGGATTCGGACTCACCTTCGGGGGTGTCTGAACTCAAATCGAGGGATTAAAATTTTTTTAAAAGAAAATGATTTCTAAAATTGAGGAAAGAGTTTAAGAAAGAACGAAGTGTGTGATGTGCGCGACTGGCCTAGCTCAAGTAAGTATTCCCCAAAGTACCCATACAAGTTTATGTTATGTTATCAGCTTTTGTAGAACAGCATGCTAGAATAGGGCTAAGGATCTAGGAGTGATGCCTTATGTGCTTGCTTTATGTGTTCCAGCTGTATGAAAATTGCATGCTAGTATAGAGTAGACAGCAGTAGGGTAACCTGCTAGGGTGTGCCTGATAGTATGAGTTAGCGCAGTGTGCTAGTTCAGTTTCTCTCCATGGGAATGGAACTGCTTGAAGTTGTTTCCCTTGTCTGAATGCTGCTTGCTTCGTGCTACGTGGGACTTCAAATAATGGGAATTAGTCATTGAGCGAATACGTCACGTCACATGTGATCAGAGTTGAATAATCTTAGAGTACCGGATTTGATCGTACTGCGCAGCTCTTGTTTGAGTCCAACCGTTGTAGGGACGAGTCGGGTACTCGAAGGATTATCTGAGTCTCGTTGCATGTGATGGTATTCGGGTGATGGCTAATTGGCATTACAAGGAGGCCTGCAGCAGCTGAGGACCGGATCGAGTAGAGACGGAGATTTCCCTAGGGCGAGCCTGGGATGAGTATAGTAGTGATCAGCCTTAGTGAAAGGGATATGGTGGAGTCAAGGCATACCTTGAAGAAGGTACGGATAGATGTGGAAGGTAGTATGGGCCCGTACTACTGAAAACAGAGGATCCGTACCCGAACCAAGGGAGGCCAAGATGAGACCAGGGAACTTGTAAATAGCTGTGATCCCTCAGGAAGTATCAGTATCTCTAATGATTGTTATTTATGTATTGCAGAATGGTGGTACTTCGATCGAGGCCGGTGGATGGCGGTTCAGGAGAGGGGTCAGGTTCGGGATCAGGTTCCGAGCCGGTAGATGAGGGACTACGCGAGTTCATCGCATCAGAGATCACCAGGGGTATCCTTGAGTCGACTCCCGTTATCTTCGGGTCGATCAAGGAAGGGATCATGGAGTTGATGGAGGATCGCATATGGGCGTTCAGGAGCAACATGGCATCTGGCCAGTCGGGATCTCGCACACTGTCCTTTAAGGACTTCAGGGGCAGTGGTGCACCGGATTTCCATGGGGTGAAAGACCCCATTGTTGCCAGGCGATGGATTG